CAGTGAAGAGAAAAAGAAAATTTTAATAATAACCACATAACGTAAAAGAATTGGGGAAATGTGAATTTCAAAAAATGTAGTAAGGCAGATTTCAAATGCGTAACAACACCACCCCCTCGATTTAAAATTGGGGAATTCTGAAGCATTCTTATCAAATTGGCACAACAAAACTTTAAAAATAGTGAATAATTAAGTAAAGCATGCGAAGAATGCTGGCAAAGCTAACTACACTACATGGTTTTAATCTAGCGAAAATACTGCTGTTAACAATCTTGACTTTTCAACCTCAATATAAATGATTTGAAACATAATTAATTTTACCTGACATGAATTCAAGAAAGTAACAGTAAAATAACCACCCAGTAATGCTAGATGGACTTCAGGTCACATCGCCGTGCTGCCACAGTTGTAAAGTGTTTTTTTTCCAAATGCATTGTTGAAAGGCAGCCCAATGCAGGGTTTGGAACGATATCAACGTAGGCACAACATATCAGATATCAGGACAGGTAAAAAAAAGTAGGTCAGTTTACCATATCAGGTCAGTTAATTTATATAAATGTCACATGGGTGTAGTAACAACTAAGTGTACAGTGTGTACACTGCAATACATTCAGTTACTGCCATGCTTCATTATGTCATGGCACAAACGAGTCTTGCTGTAAAACGAGTCTTACAGCTCACATGTTATTCTTGCTATTAATCTGTGATTTTGCTAATCTAATTCAAGATACATCTAATTTAAAATAAAGTATAGTCTCACAGTGGGATTGTTAATTGATCTTTTGGCTATTTCAAAGTGTTTTACAGCATCCCAGCGCATTTTTGTTTTCCCCATTTTTTTATAAAAAACATATGGGAATTTTAATTAGCTTACCTGGTATGCATCAGCAATGTTCACGGTTTCACCAGTTTTTGCAACATAACCAACAATTCCTTTGCCCCATTTCACACGTATCTCTTCTTTGAGTGATTCTTCAATGGTTGAATCACATCTTACATCAAAAAGTTTACTTGCCAGAAAGCAATCTTCAGTACCTCGGGTGCCCTGCACCAGAAATAAAGAACAACGATCTGCATTTGTCAAAATACTAACATTCTGCAATATTTTGTGACACAGACTCGTTAAATCCAAATCATTGGAGATATCTTTGACCAGTTCAAAGAGAGCTTCTCTGTCATCAAGTAGTTTAAGGGCACTGATGTTTTTCCTGGAACGACTTGATGGTGATGGTGGCTTCTCCCTCAAGAATGTTGGTGCTCCATCTACAGTTTGGATCATTGGGCCTAAATTGCCCCTCCCCTCAAATTCCGAAGCAGAGACTTTGCGTACCGGTGTGTTTGCACCTGAACTGTGTCTTGAACCGCTACTGGTCGAGGTGGTTCGGGACCCAGCTGAGGTATCGTAAACTTGAGAACTTTGAGCAACGGCCCTCGCAATGAACCAGCCATCAATCATAGATCGTGTAGCTTTACGGGAGAAATAGTCATGTATGAAATCGCTGTGATCATCCAACCAGTTCTCCATACTCGCATATTCACGGCGTTCCTCTTCACTCAACGGGGATGGCCGATCATCGGTTGTAGTCGATGCACCAGCTTCGCTCTGAGATACGGAGGCCATATCGGAGATGCGCCGCTGTTGTTGACGATATAAAAGTGTATGCCTTGCCGACAGCGCACGGCCTCCCGCTGACCCTAACGGCCTGCTGATATCCAGCTTGCTGATGAGTCTACAAAGAACTTCCAAAAATATAGCATCGAGTGAATAGCCTGATCTGAATTGCTAAATACCCTCAAATATTTGTGCTAGACAACAGCTGTATGGCTACATAAAATGGATGTGCTGTAGAGTTGTGATCACATTAGTCCGTATAATAATTGGGCGTCCCATTTTATTTCTCACAACTATTCATGGTAGCATACAATAAACAGTCGACAAAAGCCTCAATAGGTTACGACAAGAAGCTCTTTCAAAATTCGCACCTGGTTGATCCTTTACAATAAAGCCAATACCGGCATTTCTGGCACCAATCAGCGAGATGACAATAGCTATCCAATGCACACAGACGACGATGAATTACGATTCCGACACAACAAGTTTTGACTTGGCGCAACACTTATTGCAAACCAAATACGATTCGATACGAATTCCTACACACCTCTTCAAAATGCAATCAAAACGACTTCACGTGTGTATAGGAACGCCAGGCATAGCGGAAATACGAGTGGTTTTGCTTCTTTTAGTCCAAAAGTGTCCTCAATTATCTATTTGTCGACGGTCTTGCAGCGTAAAAAATAGTCGGTGGCAAGAAATCCAAATACACACGCACCAACCAAAGCAACGAAGCAGGGTTACCCTATTGGAACATACCATTATAAAAAGGGAGCAACAAAACCACACGTAGAAAATTCTCTCTTTCTTACCATCTGTTGGCGCTGTTTATGGACGATTTTTGAAAGCGTCCATGCCTGACACATCGGGGAAATTCCCTTTTACGAGCTCGTATAATATATTTCAATACACCATGTGACCAATGAAGTTATTTACTTTTGATGCCCATACTGATGTACTTTCTCCGGTCAGTGTTATGTTGCGTCAATGAAAGAAAATACAAGTTTTATAAAACTTATACGTAGCCAGTCATTTGATGTATTCTTCCACTGGGTCTCGACTTTGAAGTAGTGCTGCCTTTGATGGAATGAACAAATGCCTTGTGGTGTCCACTTAGATTGCTTTTTTGATTGTCAGTTTGATCAAAAGATTTCATCAGAAATATAACATACAGAAAAAATATAAATAATAATTGCATATTTCAAATATACGACTGAATTCTATCACTATGGAGGTACTGTGATTCTATATACGACTGTGATTCTACACATGTCACGTGAAAAAATGTAGACACAGACAGTTGTGTATGTCATATAAATTCCTGCATGCCAAGGACCCCTTAATCCCCTACTTTCTCTGCCCGGCAGACAATTAACTATTGTTTTACTACAGTACCACACAGCAACAATCATCGAAATGTAACCGCGCCAAGTTTTACAGTTTTACTCACATATCAAACTGTTTGCTGGCCATGGTTGTTACAGCCATAGTAAATACAATTCACATACGAGTATAGGGTTAGACATTAAATGTTGACATCATTTCATTATTTAAGACGGAATTCCATATATTTAACATGGTTTTCGTTGCATTACTTTTTATCATGTATTAATTTAGATTCAATTTTCTATCTGCAGTAACATTGTGTAACATCATTATTTTGTTGCGGCTGTCACATATTAGTTTTTTAATATTGTGTTACTAATATTGCATTTGGGTGCTAGGTATATTGTTTTCAGTCCAACTAATAGCAATACCCAGTTAGTAGACAGTTTGTATTGCTTGTGCTTCTGAAATCGGCTATAAGATTAACATGCAGAATAGTAGAATTCTATATATCGCTAATTTGCACAACTGTAGCAAATCTTCAGAGATATATTAAATGTATGTACACCACTAATTTATTCAAATCACAACACAAGTAACTCTGTTTGACCTTTGACAATTCTACATTAATCTGAGCTTACACATAGATGGAATTAACACTAGATTCTTTTAGAAAATCAAAAAAACAACAAAAAAAAAAACGCGGTTTAAAACATTGACTTTAACGTCACTGTGCGGATGAATCTAGCCGTGTGGAAGATAAGCATGTGATCTAAGCTGAGCTGTCAAATATCATCGCGAAAATAAACATGTATGCAAATAAGTCATCCAGGGTCAACAACCTGTCAAATATATTTTGCAGAAAAATTAACAACATCATTTTGGCCGTGTTTATTGTGTTTGATAACAACATTCACTGCAAAACATTAATGTTGCGGTAACCTTGATGTTTGAAAACTATGACATTGAACAGTGCATTGAACTGCATGTAAAGAAAAAGAGAAAGTGTTTGTTATTTATATTGCAACATTTTAAACTTGTTTTGTTTTCCTCCTAACTTTACCACGTTTACACAGTCTGAAGACGAATATATCTACGCATAATATCAAAATTTACATCATTTGCTCCAAAAGGAAATATTTGAAAAGTTACAGGCCCTCTATCTGTAGAAGAACTGTGGTCCATTCAATATTTTTTTATTATTATTTGGAGTCATATAATTTTCGGAAAATTTAATTTAATTTAATTTAATCCAAAAAGATTATTTATTTCATACAATACAATGCAATACAGTACAATAACACTTTATTATCACCGTAATGAAATTAAAACCTTTTTGGGCTCTGAGTAATAAACATGAAATTAATAAACATGAACACACATTAAAGGGCGACAGTCGTCGTGTCACGCATGCGCGAGATATATGGGACTCATATAAACAAAAAAGGCGATTGAGACTGTTGCGCATATCAACGAGTACAAACTGAGACGTTACCAAGCTTTAATTAGGTTTAGCTTTAGGTGATTGGGAAGTATCGTAGGAGTCACCGGTGGTAATCAGTGCAAGTCGCGAGCAGGTCGAACTTCATACTTGTGATTTCCATTAGAAGAGCGCATTGGATTGTGGGAAAATCAATGATTATCAACACAAATGTCGCACATGCGCAGCGCGACGACCACCGCCCTTTAATTATAATACAAGTATCAAAAACAAAGAAAGTTACAAAATGCTTCTTTTCAAGTTTGTATTATCAATGTATTGGATTAGTGTTTTCAGTAAATGTTTATCTGATACGTTGATGATTGTCTTGAATTTTTTTGTTTTGTTCATCATATGGCCAAAAAAAAAACATTTATTTTCAGGACAAATATTAACATTTTCTTAGAACAGAGATGTTTTAAGATCGGGTAGCAGACTCTGTTTTTCAGCATCTCTGGATTTCACCCCGGTTGGTGCTGACCATGTTTCGTCAGGCCATCCACCCCTCTCCACCATATTAATACGTCCAGTGAGTTTTCAGGTCAAATCTATGCGCGGGAACCGTCAGGTCGTCACTTGGTGGCGGTATACACTTAGACGGAAGTTGAGAGTTTGTGGTCAGAAGTATATGTAGGGCACCGATGGTGTGCCATTGGTTGTTATATATATTACATATTAAGAATTTAGAAGCAAGTTCAGAAGTTATCGAGTAGTAGTTATCAGAGTGAATAAGTGTGACCAGAAAGTAATGTAGAAAGGAAACACAGTTAAAGAGAAGGTAAGAAAGGTGCCTGCGTGATTGTTGAGTTGACCCCAGTGTACGGCAAACCTATTTGGATTACTCACTACATGCACACAAGTTACTAGGAGTGGCTAATGGAAATACTCTGATCCTTGCTTTTAAATTGCTATCTTGTATAACCTCGTCATAATAATTGTTGTTAAACTTTGTGCTCAGTTCTCCCGCTTTTTGACCATTATTATCAGACAAGAACTGAGCTCCAGTCACACCAGGAAGTAATATTGGTGACGATTGTTGATGACTTCCTGAGATATTGTTGATGACTTCCTAACTCCGATTTGTTCTATAGTTGACCCATGGTTTGTTTTACGATTGGCACTGTACATGTAGACCGTTACAAAGGTCAAAAGTTCACCCTAATGCATTACTGATATTGGGTATTGACCTTGAATTGCAGGTATGCATGAGTTCACTAGTGATCAGAGCCATGGGAGATTTAAATCTGAATTTAATGGCAGTAGAAATAAAAAAAAAAATAAGCAAGTGACAAATTACAAAATTCACTCACTTTAAACCTACTATACTTAAGCAATAACCCCCCCCCCCCCCCCCGCCAAAGGCGGGTATACCAAGAGATATTGCACAATTCACGACATATAAATGTATGCACGAGCCGCAGACGAGTGAATTATCCAATATCAATATACCAGTAATTATATTATATTATACCAGTATATTGACAATTCGATAAAACTAGTAAAAAAAAAGAGTTTCCTTGCATGATTATGGCCCTTGAACATGAATATTTATACTTATAGTACATGTATGTAGTTGTACACTGAATGCATACAAAAATTACATACGTAACACAGTTCAAATTGAATACAAACTAATTTTTGTTCCACGTATCCACAGTGAAGAGAGCAGCATAAACACAAAAATTGGCATAACAAAAGATGACCTTTTACTGACTGTGTCAACTCCATTTGAAATACTGGTAGTGTACTGTTTGGATCATTAAAACAACAGATTTTTTACATTTTCATTCTGGTTTTTGTACAATTTGGATTGTGATTTTCCCATTGAAAGTACAGTTGTGAAATAAACCGATTTTGTAACGCATCATTCTACTTGTAACTGTGGATATTTGATAAAGCATACTTTGGTTCCACCTTATAACCCACAATCCAATGGGGCAGCTGAGAGGTCTGTTAGAGTTGTAAAAGAAGCTTTATTAAAACAAGTTCTTCAATGTAAAAAGAGTGTGTCTATGAAACATAGACTAGCAAATTTTCTGTTACAGTATCGTACTACACCTCATAGTACGACAGGTGTATCACCAGAGAGTTGATGGTTAAGCGGTGTTTAAGAACCAGCTTAAGTTTGATAAAACTTGATATTGCACAATTTGTAGAGAGTAAACAAGATAAACAAAAGCAGTATAAGGATCTGATATGTAAACGTGATATATCTTTTGTTAAGTATGACAGAGTATGTGTTCGAAATACTAGAGGTAATTCTAAAATAGATAAGTGGATTCCAGGTACTGTAATTAAAATTTGTGGACCACAAAGTTATATAGTTAGAACAGGTCATACAACTAGATATGTTCATACAGATCATTTAATTAAAGCACATGATTGTGTGAAAGGTGATATTGACGAGCAAGATGTCAGTGTACCTGAGTTGCATGATTTTTCTGTCAATGAAAATGTAAAACTTCCTAATGAAAATGTTTCTATTGATTAGCCTAATGAGAATGTAATTACTCTGAATGTTAAACCTACGGTTTGTCCTGAATGTGTGACAACTTCACCAGTTTTGAGGAGATCTCAAAGAGTAAGGAAACCTGTAGTCAGACTTGATCTGTGAGTTTATTGTTACTGTTCAATTTTTGAAGCAATTGTTAAAAACTTATGTGAGTTGTATTCTTAACAGATTATATACCCATTTTTAAGGGAAAGCAGTGTAATGTTTTGAAGGTTTATTTGAGTATGATTACGTCATTGCTCTAATTACCCAGAGTACAATGCTAATAAACAGTAAGAGTGTTCCACCATTTTGAATCGTACAGACTGGTTCTATTCACTTTGTTCAATTACCCACATAGACTCCGGTCAGTCAAAATGACTATTTTGGACTGTAGGGATTAATCATCGATTCTGCCGGTGATGGAGAGATAGAATCTAGGTCAGGGGAAGCCCCATGACCCCAAGATTCTCTTTCCCTTATGTCACGAACCACGTGACCGAGGCCATTAACGGCTGTACAATCACTCTCTTTTTTCATCTCCGCTTCGTCGGGAATGACTCTGAGCTGCTCTGCCTGGCTCTTTTAGCTTTTTCCTGTCCTGGTTTCTAACTTGGGTTGTTGCCGCTGGGCGGCATTCAACATTCTTACTGGTAAGATAAGTTTTTTTTGTCTTCTTTACCCTTGTGTCGTTTTCCCCTATGTGTGTAATATTTTTTTCCACAACAAAGAAATTAAAACCCGGCACCACTACGTAACCACTTGTTGGTTTTGTGGCAGCACCTTTTACTACTGTAATTCGCTTCCCTCATGCATGTCGTCTTCATTTTATGCTTGATCTATGTATTTAGAAATGAATAGATGTAATGACAGCACCAGGGCTAGCTGCCATTTTTTTTTTGGTCTCTTCGTGTGTTATATGCAGTGGTTATATTCAGAATTCACCAGCATAGAACCTGCATCCAAAATACTTTTGTCGTAGCTGCGTGCAGGGTCCGGGGTTTTTGCCATGAATGCGTGTGTTTTTCACTGGAGTTCTGAGGCCTGAGATTTTTCTTTCAGAGCCATCAAAATTGCTGAGACTGACCACGTTGCTTGTTTCTTCACAGCAAGGTCGCTCAGCCAGTAAACAAATTGGTTTAAGTGAGTGCATGTTTGGCATGAGTGGAAAGTCTTCATGCTCTGCTACCGGTACTTCGTGTACCGGGACGCCGAGTAGGAGGCTCGATGGTGGAGGTACCGATATTTTTTCTCGGTCTCCCCCCTGCTGATCGAAAGGCATCCTCACAGTCTGTTTTTTCAGGCAGTGGTTTACCCAATTTTACCGGCTGCAGCGAGGCTGTGCCCCTGGAGGCTTTCCTTCTATGGGGCCCATTGCGGGTCTCTTTGTGGACCCTTCCTCGCATGGTGCCGGGGTTGCCTCAGAGTTGAGGGCTTTGGTCGAAGGACTGTCGCGGCAATTGCGTTCCTGGCAGGCCGGGTAGATCAGACGCAGTCGGAGCGAGCTGTCTCCACTGTGGCCCTTCAGTGGGCAAGCAGGAAGAAACACGAAAGCATGTTTGCATTCAAACACGTCTCTTCCGGGAACCCCCGTTCCCGGCCGCGGCTCTCCCACTAATTTGGATGAGGCCGAGACTCAGGCTAATTGCACCGGGCCTCTTCTGGAGCCTCTGGCACTGAATGCCAATGGAGTGCTGGCAGCTAAGCCTTCGATTTCGGGGCAGGGCACACTTTGACCCCCTCTACTTTCTACATCGGTAACGAATTTATCCTTGTGTCCGGTTACCGACCCACGGGCGTCCCCAGAGGGAACCGATCCTGTCATGAGACGCACAGTCGAACACGCTCCCTCTCACATATTTAAAGTAAAAGGAGACAGTTCGTTTGCGTCGGATACAGCCGGTACTCCGGGCGGTCCGTCAGAGTCTTCCATCCGTAATGACTCGGTGAGCCACCCTTTTGGGGTGATGAGGAGTATCATCGATCCCAGTGATACGATGTAAATACCCTCGCCCTTGATCCTAAGGCAACCACCTAAGGTTGCTTCAACGCTTATGGGATCACAGGCATTGGGATCCAAAGCCATCCTGTCAACACATCTCTCCCTGACCATCTGAGTGGGGCGCAGGACACGCAAATGGTGTTGATGAGCAGACGTTGGTCAGCCACTGAGGATGTAACGCTTAAGGCTCCTGAGTGGGGAAAACTTTAGGCAACACTTCCTGCTGGACCAAACGCTACTCGGTCGGTGTGGTTTTGGGATCAGACCCCATAGCGTGGGATGAGAACAAAACCCTCAACTGGATCCCAAGGCTTTTTCCCCAGACCCCGGTACCACAAAATTTTAGTTTGTAAACCGGGCAAAGGGGGACGGCCGCATTCCATGGGTGTTCTCACCAGCTCAATCGGAGACGACCTATCCAGCCCTGAGTGCAGAGTTGCTTGAGCGCATTATTGTGTGCTCCCAGGACTCTGGAGACCTCGGAGCCAGAACACACCAGCCTCCTAGACCAGGCGACACATTTACTGGCGGGCCACAGCAAATCTATGTGTGACATCCCCTAGTGTCACCTGGCGCTCTTGGCCGGGGCCACTACTGTGCTACGAGACGCGACCTTAGATGCACGTGTTTGGGGAACTCGCCTCATGGGAGAAGAGAGCACCCCACCTCGCAACTGCCGAACCTATGGCCACATATCTCTGTCGTACACAGATTGCGCCGGTGTAGTCCGGTTTGGAGACAGCGGGTGACCGATCCCTGGACCTTTCCAGGTGGTGACATCCGGTTACGGGATACCGCTGAAATCTCTATCTCCCCCGTCAGTGTCTCCCCTGTTGGGCACTGCCAGGGGACTCCCGCAAGGCGGAAGCAATCAGACAGGAAGTAGCAGTTTGCTGGGAAAAGGCGCCATACACAGGGTACATCAGCCGGAACTAAATCCAGGCTTCTACCCAAATGTGTTTGTAGTACCAAATCTACAAGTGGTTGGCGGCCAGGTCTGGACCTAGGCAGACTGAATCAGTACGTGCTCCTCGATCGGTTCCACATGGAGACACCATTTAGGGTTCTTATCTCCATCCAATGTTTCGACTGGCTAGCCCCACTAGACTTAAGCGGGGCCTACCTGCACGTACCGATGCACCCAGCGAGTTGCCATCTCCTTCGAAACGCCCAGCTTGGCCAAGGATTTGAATTTCGGGTGCCCCCCATTCGGGCTATGCACAGCACCCTACGTGTTCACCAGAGTGATGAAACGGGTAGTGCTGCTGCTTCACCAAATGTCGGTACATCTCAATCCGTACCCAGACTACTGGTTACTACACAACCCGGACAAGGGGTTAATGGCCAAACACGTCCGGCGAACACAGGATTTACTTCACCAGTTGGGCTCGTTAGTAAACGCGCAGTTGGTGCCCCTGGGCATGGAGTTTTTGACACAGAGGTAAGCTTGGCTTAGCTAATGCAAGCATGTTTCTTAGAGCTAAGCAGCCTAGCCGAATACCTAGTCAGCGTTCCCTCAGTGTCCTTCCGAGAACTAATGCAGATCATCGGAATGATGACCTCGGTTCGAAGGGTCATTCCCCAGGCCGCACTACGCAGCCGCCCGGTATAACGCTTGTTATAACACCGTGCTCTCCTATGGGTTTTGATCTGGGACCAAGTGAAGTAAGCCCTGCCCAAGTTGCCCTGGCCAACCTCGAGCAGGGGGCCCCCTTGGACCTGCTCGCCGCAGGTATGACTCTGGTAACTGATGCCTCCTCCCAAGGTTGGGCAGCGCATCTACTAGACCAACAAGTCCAAGGATATGGCCCCCGCTTTAGTTTCGGAACTACCATATCAACCGGCTCAAACTGAAAGCAATATACTTAGCACTACCACGCTTTCTACACGTAGTTCGAGACCACAGAGTCCTGCTCTGCACAGGCAACGCAGCGGTGGTCTCCTTCAAGAAGGAGGGGGCGCGTTCCTCATCGTTGTCAGTCCTAGCAGAGCAAATCCTCCTTTGGTGCCTGGAATACAATGTGGAGCTAACCTTCCAGGGGTGAGGAACAGTCTGGCAGATGCCCTTTCAGGGCAGCTCCGTCTCTAGAACACAGGGTGGCTGATAAAGCCTCCAGGCTGTTTCGGCTGTGGGACGGTCCAAGGTTAGACAGGTTTGCCGCACTCCGGAATGCCAAGCTCCCGACATACGTAACACTCCTGCCGACTCCAGGAGCCTGGGCCAGGGTCGCTTTGCTAACTCTGTGGACCCACTTAGTTGTGTACGCCTTTCCTCCCTTCCCGCTAGTTCATCGGGCACCGGGGAAAACTTCAACAGGTGCACACCTGCATATTATTATTGGTCGCACCCAATTGGCCAAACAAGGCTTAGTTTCCACTTCTGTCGGAAATGCTAGTCGAAACACCAGTAGTGTTTCTGGACTTACCGGACCTGCCGTCCCAACTAGACGGCACACTACCAACAAGCCCAGCGGGTATCACTTACAGGCATAGAGGCTCTCATTAGACCCGCACATGCGAAAGCATTATCTGCGCGGGCTGCCAACGTTCTGGCCAGGGCGAACAGGGATTCCACCAATGCAGCCTACATTTCTAGGCTGTGAGCATACACTGATTGGTGTAGCGAAAGGGAGATTGATCCATACCATCTCTCTATTGACCAGGTAGCAGGCTCCTTCGTCCACCTGTTTGACAAAGTGGGTTTGTCCTACGCAGCGATCGTTGGCTACAGGTCGGCCTTGTGCCCCACCATTGAGAACTTACAGGAACAAGACTAGCCGATTGTCCTATTATTAGGAGACTATTTACTGCTTTCCAGACGCCAAGACCCCATACAAGGGAACCGTCCAACTAGGACATGTTGGCTGTGTTGTCCGCTCTAAGCAGACCGCCCTTTGAGCCTCACTGATCAGCACCACTCAAACTTTTAGACATGGAAAATAGTCTTCCTACTGGCCCTCGCCTCAGGTAGGCGTCTACCAGAGCTGGGGGCATTGTCCTTCTCGGATGATGTACCTCAGTTATGGACAATCAAGTTGTGCGAAAGACACGAATCGGGTTTCTCGCCTAGAACCAAGTCCCAGGACACGATCCTCACCCGATCGTCATCCCCCGGCTGTCAAATTTTGTCTGCCCGGAGGGTCCGGAGGAATTGCTTCTCTGACCGGTTTGAGCACGGAGTTGCTACCAAACTGTACTAAGGGTTCAGGACGGGGTGCCAGGCACATGTCTTTGTATTACTACCAGGCAGGCAGGATAGGCCGGTCTCCTCAACTTCCATAACCAGGTGGTTTACTGCAACTGTATTAGAGGTCTATAATACTTTAACTTCCTCGACACAGAGCTTGCAGAGACACCAAGTATGAGCGCATAAGGTCTGTGCGATTGCCAACTCACTAGTGCTAGTGTCAGGTGCCCCCCTCGAGCATACACGGAGGGCAGGCTTTTTTAGAATGCAGAATGTCTTTATCAACTACCACCTAACAGACACCAAATCCATTGAGGAAGGTCTCTTTAGGTTGGGTCCCATCGTAGTGGGTCAGTCTTGGTTTGCTGATCCAGCCCGAACGACCACAAGGGTCCCTGCGCATAGGTAATAAGTCAGTCTCGGCATTTTATGCGGACAGATTTCTCTACCCTCAGCACTCCCCTGGAAGCTCCCAGGTCCTGATTTGCGGCCTATGCCCTCATGCAGAACTGTTTCAGTCTTTACTTCGAAAGCTTACCTCCAGAATTGGGTTGGGGTCTTGTTTTCTCGGGCATACCGAACCCTGTCACCAGAGCAGCGTTTTGGCTTCTTGCTCCGAGGACA